TAATACATCGTGTAGCATAGCTCTCAACGAATGTAGTCCTGTAAATAAATGAATAAAGAAATTGTGTAATAAAATGCATCTGGCGGGACTCGAACCTGCGACCTCTCGCTGTCAAGGCGAAAGGTCATTTATTTACAGGACTACATTCGTTGAGAGCTATGCTACACGATGTATTATTATGTACTTTATTCGAACACTGTATTTACCTTTCTTTGATGATTTATATATATATATATATATATATATATATATATATATATATATTTACCTTATGCTATAGTTTATTTTCACGGCTATAAACAACTCCACTCTCCACCCTCCTCCCCCCACCAACAAAAAAAAAAGAAATATTCTCTATAAAATATATTTGTGCACAAGATATTGGTACCTCAAATACTATTCGACCAATAAATCATCTTCCGTACTCGCAGTATTTAATCGTACATATCTTATCACTACGAAGTCACTTCTCTTGTAAAACTCTTACATCATTTTCATTTCATTAATCATATTATCTCTTTAATGGTTTGAGATTTTGTCAATATGAGGGCATTGTCACGATGTTTTTGTCACGGTGTATGTGTGCCACGCCTTCAGTGGGAAAGGGGTTTTCCCTCGGAGGGGAATTTCCCTTTTACTTGCCTACTAACTTGACTCGTCAAAATAGGCCTAGGCCTACCTCTATTACTACACACTCTATACGCCTAGTCATTCCTCGCGATAAAAACAGGTTAGGCTGCTAAATTTGACAAGTTGGGATCGTCAGCACTCCATTATCTATTGCGTCACCATGTCTACTTTCATAACTTTGATTTCAATTTTCAACTCTTGTATTTCATCGGAATATCTTAGAACAATCGCATTTATCGATCGACACAGTAGGTATATTCCCGGGTCGACCACCACGAGCGTCGGCATATATTACGCATATCCGAGAAAGCACTTTGTCACTGTGAATAACAAGAATTTATCACTGTAATACGTTGAATTCATTAAACGAAAATAGACGAGTAATAGGTCAGTTGCACTGGTATTCAGTTGGTGTTCAAGTAAAGCAAGGGTAAAATAATTTAATAGTTGAAAATATTGAGAACAGTTCAAACTTTGTAATATTAGTTGTAATGTTAGTACCGATAATAGTTAGGTAACCTCTTTCGATGAAGATACCAATATTCTTTATTCAAAGATATTGATTATTAACAATCTAGGTCTAACCCAAAAATTAAATGATAACGTTGTTGATTGTGTTTATAAAGAAAGTATTAATAGCGTAATTCAAGCGTAATATAATGACTAGATTAGATAAGTTTAAAGACGTCAGAAAAAAGGGTTTGCGCAGCTTAAAAATTATACCAACATTTTTATTGATAATAGTGAGCTTTAAATGATAGCCAGATTAGTTGTAACATATAGTCTAACAACGATTAGTAACAACATATGAAAACTGATATTGGTCTAGCTGATGAGGTGTCGAGCGAATTTTTCTAAGATTGCATTCAAATGAAAACGAATTGTATTGCTGGAGTGTCGCAATTATGTTGCCTGTACAACATTTAGACGTGAAATATCAAACATAACAATTGCTATCGTCCATATATAAATCAAGTTAATGTTTCCATTATTGCATTTTTTTCATTATATGAGTTTTTAGCTGTTTAATGTTAGCTGTTTAGTTTTAAGTTGTTAGTTTTATCTGTTAAGTGTGACTGCGCCATATTATGTGCTACTACCGATGGAAAGGTGAAAAGCCATTAAATTACTATCATTGATACATAAATGTATCGGTCCCATTGACAACACTTTGAAATATAATTATTATCATTAAAAGGTATAGATCACTACGTCCGATAGGTCTTGGAAAGTTATTGTATAAATGCCATTTATTCTATTGTCTTTGATTCGCCCGCTTATTTCATCGTGTATACTACGGCATAAGGAAAAACAATAATCACACGTGCATCTGTTAGCATAGCGGCATTGACGCGCTCAGTTTTCGAATTTCATACATTGTCTAGTAAGTAGTGTTTACGTATATTATGTGTATACACAAGTAATCATTTGTTGTCTGCATAGAGGCCGATGCAGAAATTTTATTCGGACCTTAGCATGTTTGTATTTTTAATATGGGCCGTTGGACTAACACTTGAGCTGCAGGTATTTTTATGTGGCAAAACCACCTTTATTCACAACATCTGTACACAAGATGAGCACTTTCTTGTTTGTTCTTTCTATAACTTACATAGACTTTTTACTAATATGAGTGATAATAATTCTTATATATATGAGGCAAAGCAAGTAAGTACTATCCTGAAATTAAATAAGATCTGTATTAAGTTTTTCAAATAAAAAAAGAAAAAAACAACATTGACACATGTTTTAACTTCTACTGCCAAGTACTAAAATCACTCTGACAAATATCTTCTACGTACGTGCTGTTACAAATATAAAACTCAGTACGATTAAGTTACGATTTATAAGTAACTAAAGCCTGTTACCATATTATTCGGGAGATTCTACCTAGCCTACAGCCCAGGTTGGTAACCAACCGGATGAAGAGAAACATGTAAATCAGCCGAGATTAATTATTATCATCACAATCAACCGGCTAATTAATATAAACATTGTTATCGATGTTATTATTAAGATGAACAATATTACTAATAGTATTATCATTACCATTATAATAATATCATTAATAATAAATATAATGATAACATAATATAAAAAGCCAAAGTAAAAATAATAATTCAAGAATAATGATTCTATAGATATTTTTTTATTTAATATCAATAAATTATATATTATTTGATGACCATATTTAGAAAAATTGTCTTAATTACACCGTAGGCCTATTACAGTTGTAGTGATTTAAAAAAAAAACTTTTATATTTGAATTTACCGGAGAAGCTATTTATGTTTATTAATGTTTTATTTACGACAGGCCTACTTTTGAACATGAAACTCACACAGAGCATTAATGATTTTGCTCAGTAATACCACATAAATTTTATTGTGTTGACCATAAATTTATAGACATATTTGAATAGACTAAAGCCGGGCACTCACTGCGCCCCCCGATGGTTGTCGGCCGACGGTTTCTATGGAGAACGCAACGCCACGAGGCGCGCGGATGAATTCGTTTAACTAATACATTGATTTAGAATGGGAATTAAATGTTTTAAGGATGCCATGAGATGTGGATAAGAGACAGCAGCATGCCGCATCATCGTCATCATCTACCTCATCATCTTCCTTCTCCTCATCAGTCGCATCATCGTCATCCTCCTCATGATTGTCGTATTCTTGGAATTTGGTGTGTTGACGTCATCATTCCAAATTTGCTTGGGACACGGCGGTTTCATACGCACTATATTGGGACAATAAGTGTTTTCAACGCGCCTTCCATATATTTACGCACCGCAAGCCTCGAACGAACACACTCATGTTGCGATTGGGATCGTGCGAGCCTAGCGGAACTGCATTTTTTGGTACATAGTAGAATTGTGCTAAAAATAATATATGAGTATAATATCCCCCCATTCATGTTCTGTTTGTCTAATTATTATATCAGCTACTTATACACATCTAGATGTGTATAAGAGACAGTATATATATATATATATATATATACGACTATACTACCATAGGGGAAACGTTAACAATGGAGAGGGTTAGAAATAATAACTTAAGGCGAAAATACTGCCGCTAAGGGGAAATTTTAACGACGTTAAGGCGAAAAGTAGACAAAGGATTTTTCACCCTATGAGTTAGTTAGGAGTAGTATATTTATATATATATAATATATATATATATATAAACTTACAAAAATGAAATGCTTAAAATTTATTAAACTATTTGACTACTATTTTTTTTTCATTGTAATCTATGCATACACTACCGTATATATAATGTATAGTTAGTTTACTACAAAAAGTATCACAAAACATGATATAGGTCTCATCAATATATATTTATATTTTTACAAACTACCGGTACTACATAATTTCAATATCTATATATATAATCATGTTACAATCATTTATATATTTATGAAAAAGTTCTCGTATTTGATTACACTTACATACATTAAGATTATTTACATGTAAATATCTACTCCAAACAGTAGCCTAATAGAAGTCAATTTGTTTAGACTGACATCGAGAGAAACTTTTTTTTAAAGAGGCGATTAAAAGACGCATAGAAGTATAATGCAGAGCAAATGAAACGTTGCAACGGCACTCCGAACAAAAGAATGTTCCTGGTGTGATTTCCGCAGCAAATAGTCTATACAGTAGTTCCTTCACTTCTTCCTTCATAGTTCCTTGTTCCAACCGCAAGCATTTTAAGCTCACTAACGCTGCAGAAGATGACGTGCCACTTGTTACAGCTCCATTCAGAATGAATTCCGCCAAGAACTTTGCCATCAACTATGTGGTTTCATAATGAGACCATGGAGAGCTCACGGAGTATTCCTTTTTATGCAGCTTCAGAAGACTCTGAAGCTTTGTCGTCGACGGATTCTGTAGCACTTCATTGAAAAAAGATATTTATTTTATGATATTGTTATATCGTAGGTAACCAATGATGACAGTCATTATGTATTAAGGCCAATTCAGACAGCGTCGGCCGACGCAGCCGACCCGATTTATCGTCGGGGACAGTCTTAAGCCGTCGTGAGAAATATTAAACATGTTTAATATTCTACGACGCGACTGCCCCCGACGCACACCATCGCGTCTGCGTTTAACTCACACAGACCCGACGCGACAACAAATCGCGTCGGGCTGCGTCGTACGACGCTGTCTGAGTTGGCCTTAAATGTTGCTGATAGTGGCGACATTGTTGAGGCTTCCACGATCTTTTAAATTACACAAACTCATCGCTGTATGTTTATAATAAAAAGCAAAAAATTACTTGTCATCAAGTAATTGTGAAATGTCAGTGAATATAGGGCTTTTCCATTGATGTTGTTGATTTGTTACTATTCATCTTCGTAAGCATAGTTTGAGTTCTTCGTGGCGAGAGTTCATTTCCTCTGGTGTACGTCCTGCTGAGTCTTTTCCCGGGAAAACTACAAAAACATTCCACAAATGCTTCCCTATACCTCACATTAAATACATTATAAATGAACGGATTAGCAGAAGAGTTTATGTAAACTAAACAGCGACTAATGTTTATGTACACGACGGCAACTTCATGAGGTAATTTTCCGTGAATAGACCATATGTTTAGAATTTGAAAAGGGCTTAAACACAAAATGTAGACGCTGACGGTAAGGATAAGCATTCTCAGTATTTTATTCTGAGCCCTGTGCTTTACCATAAAAGAACGTGACAGCGTTCTCTGTGTCCTCGCCATCTTCTGCACCATAGAAATCATTAAGAAGTAGAGAATGAAAATTACAATAGCGATGAGAAAAAACAACACAGCGTCGATGGTGTGCAAGATGTCTTCACCAGTGTGCGATGTCGAATAATACGTACAGGTCTTAATATCTACAACCTCTCCTTCGTGCATAACATTTTCGTCCTTGAAACCTAAAAAGACCAACTTACGGGAATTCCAAACCAAAGAAACGCCCCAACAACAAAGCGTTGCACCGATGGCTATTGGTCGAACATTTGTGGTTTTGAATCTCAATGGCCAACAGACAACAAAATATCTCTCCAGCGTCAACGCCAAGATAGTCAAAGAGCTCACGTGATAGCTAGAGTCAACGAGATATGTATTGAGCTTGCAATAAAATAAGCTGAATGAACTGTCTTCGATGAGATCTCCAGCAGCGAACGCTTTCCAGATTGTAACCGGAGCATTGGACAAAAACATGACATCCGCTAAGGCTAAGCTAGCCAGATAGATATTCATTGATGTTCTCATTGATTTTATTCTCAAAAACACGATGATGATGGCAACATTGCCTGTTATACCAATTGTAACAACGATTGGCATAAAAATTGTAATGATAATCTTGTCAACGGTAGTGAACGTCACGCCTTCGGGGTACGTAGTTGCATTCGCAGATATGTTCTGGTCTATCGTCGGTGACGTTGAAATTACGTATTTGTCCATGGTTGCTCTTTCTATGTATGCTTCTGAAATAAATCATAGAGACAGAACATATTCCTTTAATATTTTAAGGTCTAAAATTTTGCGTCATCGTCGTACGATCGTCATAGCAACATTAGCAGCACCACTTTTATCCATGTCATCTCATAATCCAATAATCATCGTCGTCACCTTCAACGATGCTAGTACACACCCATACTAATATTACTAAGATTGAGATTTCAACTGTTGTAATCAAATTTATAAATTAATTCACATGATAAAAATATTAAACTCTTATAGACAACTTGAAACAACTTTGTTTTAATTTTTGAAGGGCAGGATAAGGAGAGGGACTGAATAGTAAACATGTATTCTGAAAATGGGTATTGCTCAAGCTTTCGTTATTTACTTAAATTTATTTTTCTTTCTAATACATGAATAATACATGCTATCCAACTGTATTAGACTTAACCGACAGTTATTTTTAACAACATTAATATTTAATAATAATAATAATAATAATATTAATAATAATAATAATAATAATAATAATAATAATAATAATAAATAATATATTATAATTCTTTAGCTTCTTTCTGCCCTCATTCTAATCGGAAATTTGGGCAGCGGTACTCGACTTAACTACAGACATATACACACAAGAAAATATGAGGGTTATTCGCGATGAGCCTCCAGTAAAACCCGATGCTGGCTGGATTTGAACCGGGGTATTCAGCACAAGCAGCAGGAACAATACCTCTCAGCCAACCGCTTTGGTTCCAGCAAGTTATTAGCTTTTTAACTATACTTTGAAATGACAATCATCTTATTCCTCAAATAACAGGTGAATGAACAATACCGCTATGTTCTTGTAGGTACAAACATATTGAATAACAGTAAAACGGCAGTGACAAAACAAGGTCCACAACTGGCTACTACTACTAAGTTAATTACCGTACTGTAGCAGTGCAGTAGTAACAGCAACAGCAGCAGTAGTAGTAGCAGTAGTAGTGGTAGTAATAGTAGCAGTAGTAGTGTTAGTAGTAGTAGTAGTAGTAGTATTAGTAGTAGTAGTAGTAGTAGTAGTAGTAGTAGTAGTAGTAGTAGTAGTAGTAGTAGTAGTAGTAGTAGTAGTAGTAGTAGTAGTAGTAGTAGTAGTAGTAGTAGTAGTAGTAGTAGTAGTAGTAGTAGTAGTAGTAGTAGTAGTAGTAGTAGTAGTAGTAGTAGTAGTAGTAGTAGTAGTAGTAGTAGTAGTAGTAGTAGTAGTAGTAGTAGTAGTAGTAGTAGTAGTAGTAGTAGTAGTAGTAGTAGTAGTAGTAGTAGTAGTAGTAGTAGTAGTAGTAGTAGTAGTAGTAGTAGTAGTAGTAGTAGTAGTAGTAGTAGTAGTAGTAGTAGTAGTAGTAGTAGTAGTAGTAGTAGTAGTAGTAGTAGTAGTAGTAGTAGTAGTAGTAGTAGTAGTAGTAGTAGTAGTATTGAATCAGACCGAGTCGTGTATAGATGTGTATAAGAGACAGGTAGTATTACATACATAACTACTACTTCGAAGACTAACATTGGTTCTAGAAAACTGCACCTACTTTACGTGTGTTGATGTGCCATTTATTTTATTACGTGATATCATAAGATTTTTTATTAACAACAACAAATTACCAGGCCTAAAGTCCTCCAATATTTGTTTTTTTTAAAAGATATTTGTTCTAACATTACCCTGGTAGGTAGCAGAAATGTTGATGTAGGTCCATTTTATAATGTTAAGAAGTTTACTGTTAACTCTGAAGTAGCGTTCGTGATTGTGTACTATATATGTGATAGGCCTATTATGCTTAAAAAAGATTTACGATATCCATGAAAGTGAAAGATACTCTAAAATACAAACCCTGAAAGCTAAAAAAATGACGGACTAAGGATTAGCATTACTTACGATAACTTACGATCATGATTTCGCCGAAAGCGATGCACCCATACACGATGTTTGTTTAATGATAGCCCTGTAAAATAACTTAACAACCGCGTTGATTGAGTGTAGAGACTATGAAAAACGTCATGATATATAGTAATAATAAGATACTGTAAGTGTGTTTATTAAGATAGCTAGATAATTACACGTATAATACAAATATAAAACGTCCACTAAATCGTAGGATGATGCACCAAGTCCCTGTTGCTATATATTTAATAAGATATCCTCATAAATCATTCTGCGGCATCCGCCTTCCTAAGTCGAGCTACGGGGGTCACGATTGCACGTCGACGTTTCGATTAGCAACAGATCATAATCATGCTGCCAATCTCTGTTCCGTCATTTTGTTGATATCACCCGTCCAAGATGTCAATGTGGTTAAAATAATTAAATTCCTTTAATATTTAATCAGTGAAAGCGTGATACAAAAGATCGCGTCATATTCCCAAACTGAAATAAACAATCAGCCAATCAGAATGCTTCTTATAACAGAAAAAAGTTACTTTGAGCCAATCACATTGATTCATTTGAAATGGTCTGATCGTGTCACCGGTAAACTTGTAAAGAAAAAGGGCTGGCTCGTATTAATGATTTCCTTTTCTTTATTTATATTATATTTAGAATGTAGGATCTTAGTAAAATTTGGGAAACCATTTAGCGTTTGGTAATTACTAATTTCACTCACAGTTTGAAATCGTTTTGATAAACATGTCATTTAAATAATGAATAATAGCCTTCAATTTTATGGCGGTCATTCTCTAATTAAAGTGGTTTAATCATTTAAGCTCAAACTGCTTCAATATTTTCTCACGTTTGGACTACTGTAATTGCCTTCTGAATGCTACGGTTCCGAATATGTCTTGGCCTAAAACAAAAAAAAAAGTAGACGGATAGCGTAATGTAACATCACATAACCCGCTTAATTTACGAAGAATTATGAGTTTAGCCAACATCTTAAGATTGGCCTTCTTAGGTTTGATAGAAACGTTGTTCAAGTATAAGAACAATTTATGTTATGATCGTATCGAGCAAGCCCTTCATTGAAACGTTTCATGAATGTATGCTTTGCGGGGACTGAACCTACGACTTGTTGTCATAGCGGTGACACTTGCCTTGTCAGTGAGAGATCGCAGGTTTAATTTCCCCCAGAAGCAGTTTTTATACCACTGATCGTAAGGAAGTTTTCGCTGGAGGGCTTTGTTCGAAGA